CCCCCATCAGCTGGAAGTTTCCAGGCTGCTGGGAGGAGATGGGATGCGATCATCCTGCACACAGACACACATGTTCAGCAACTGCAGGTTCGAGGACCCCCACAAACGGCCGCGCCCGCGCGCAGGCCAACACGCATAGCACCAGCACGACCTGGAGGACCATCACCCCAGCGACCAGCAGGCTCATCGACCTGGAGGAGCAGACTCGGGAGCTGCGGGCGAAGCAGCTCGGCCGCCAACGCCCGCATGCATACCGGGAGCCAGCTTGGCGGTTCCAGCAACTGCGTTGCTGGACCGCAGAGTTCTGAACCGGGCGACTGCGTCGCTAGACCCCGACTGCGAGCCAGTCCAGCGACAGGGACAGTGCTGAAACGAACGGCGCGACGAGCCACCGAAGCATCGGTTGGCAATGTGATTCCCCCTGATTGAACTCGCTTTGACGTCACCACGTCAATACGAGCACTACGCAGGGACTCGCTGGAGACGCATGCGAGAACTGCGCAAGCTGCGACCCTGGCGGCGGCACGCCACGAAGGAGGAGATGGCACAGGCACCACGCGCAGCTAACTGTCCTCAGGACATCTTCAACCTATACCCACAGCTGTCAATAAGTGCGAGGAATGCCGCAAGTGGAAACCACCAGCAGCACGCCAAACCATCTCTACACTCCGCCTCTCGACACGAGTCAACCAGCACGTCGAGCGCGCCATCTTTCAGTACAAGGACCGTATCATTAAGCATCTGACCTGCTGCGCCTCACGATGGCACAACGGCCAGGATATCGACTCACAGCATGACTCGACGCTGCTTGCCGCCATCGATCGATCGCGGATCCAGCTGTTCGGCGCGATGGAGACGCTCATCGCAGACGGCGAGGGCAGCATGACCTGAACATTTCGCGGAGGGCATGAAGAGGCAAGGAGTCCAGGTGGACATCAAAGCTCCTCGACAGCTCGTTCGGTTCATCGAACGACGCGGGGCGACGCTACGCCGTGCACTTCACACCACAGAGGAGCAGCTAGAGCGCGAAGGTATCACAGCCAACTTCGGCTCGATGCTTGCTCGCGCAAGGTTTGCTGGCAACAGCCTCACCACGTTGGCGGCGGTGCACCATGCAACCTCGTCTTCGGGGGGCAGCCGCCCATGCTGCCTCCGCTGGAAGCAGACGAACCGAGCGATGCTTCCGGCGACTACGTCGCCGGCGCCGGCACCTCCTTTGACGGGAAGTGCAGCCCGGCCGGTTGCAGAGACGCATCCGAGAAATCGCATTGCAAAGCATGACCGAGGCCACGTCCATCTCCGCGTTAACCGCGCCCTCCAGGCAAGCACCTCAGAATCCAGAGACGGCCGCTTCAAGTCTAGAGAGGAAAAACCACGCAGACGGCTTCGCGCGTCGGGGTGGTCATTACGGGGGTGGATTGTTTGACATCTATCAGGGCGGGCGACCAGATGGCGACGCACGGGCCTCCGATCACGAAGGACGCACCTGGCTGGGCGGGCCCTGAGACCGTTGTGTCTGTCGGCCCAGCTCGAGGAAAGATCGTTGCCAAGTACCTTCGAGCTGACGTGGTCTGCAGACTGCAGGGCGCCCAGCCCCTCATCGGTGCCGTCTTCGACGACATGGGCACCAGCTTGGCGAGAGCTGGTCTGGTTTGGGACCGAGTGGGGGGCATCTTGGAGCTCTCCGGCACCAGGACCTTCGGCCACTGGGAGGACGCGAGGGACGCGCAGATAACCGCGCAGACGCTTCAATTCCCAGACATTCTCGAAGCCCTACGCCACGTGTCCCGCAAATGCTTCCAGCTGCCAGACGCCCGTGCCATGTGTCTACTACTCGGCCAGAACGATGCGGGCGACAGGCCGGGCTGCAGCCGCAGCCTAGTCGCCAGGCGGGCCCTTCAGCGCCCAGGTGGCATCCAACGGGCTCACTTCGGCGGCGTCAAGTTCGACACCCACACGTTCATCGGCGAGCAGTGGAAGGACGCTCACGTCATCCAGTTCATCTTGGGCGACGAGGCGACGATGGCAGCAGACGCAGTTCAAGATCTAGATGGAGCGCTCGATGGCCATGTCTTCGCCCCCCCGAGGACACACTGCCAGCGCCACTGAGGGGGGGGGGGGCCATCAGCACTGTCGGCCATATTGGGGGAGACCAGCAGCGAATTCGCCGGCCACTTCCAGCCGGCGACGTCGGCGGCTTGACGCCAAGTCGAAGGGGCAGAAGATCGGGCCCTGGAGCTCAGAACTGGAGAGCGACGACAGCTAGCAGATGATCGACGCCGCTGTCGGGCACGCCGCGGCCAGTTTTTGGCCGCCGGCCACGCGGGCGGCCCCGGCACCTCGAGACACAGCACCAGCGCCAGGGCACCTACGCGCAGCACCACCATTACCTGCGCGGCGCCGCCCTGGACGACTACGCCACGCTGGTGGAGGAAGACGAACGAGGAAGACACGGACGCCGACGCCCTGGAGACGTTCTCGGGGACAGCGAGGCGCGCTTCAAAGCGCATACTGCCCCCAGAGGCGGCGCGTCGCCCAGGCCGGGTCTACGTCGCAGCGGACGTCGACAAGGCCTTCCTGCAGGGCATGACCCACGCCGAGATGCAGGAGCAAGGTGAAGCATCACGCGAGTGATTTTCACCCTGCCACCCGGCAGCGAAGGCATCCTTAGGCAGGTGCCCGGCTACGAGCCCCTCGAAGAGCTCGAAGAGAGGACCGAATGCTTGCGCCGCATCAAGCCCGGCACGGGTTGCAAGGACCCACACCGAGCCTTCTCAATGGGGCTCGCCTGGTTCACGTGCCCACCACAGTGCGACGCCAAATCCACCAGGCGGGACTCGGAGTTCGATTGCGCTTCCGGCGGGACAAAGTGCGTGCTCATGTTGCCCAAGCACGTTGACGATCTGAGGATCGCTGGACAACAGGAGCGCGTCGATCGTCCTACCGGCTATATCGGGAGCGTTTTCGGCGGGATGAAGAACGGCCACGACGACTTCACCAATTGCGGAGTTTACCCGCACCGCAAAGCCGACGACACCGCGACGCTCGACCGGGACGAGTACATCGACGCCCTGATACAGATCAGGCACGTCGACCTGGCCAAGACGAAGGCCGACGAGCCAGCATGAGGTCAACTTCTCGACCTCTTCGTACCCATGCCAGGACAAGCTGCTTACGCCCTGCTCACCTAGCACCACGTCGCGGAGTGCATCGCTGCACTGGAGAGGGCCAAAATCAAGTTGCTTTTGCGCAACGTGGCGCAGCTGAACTCAGCGGCCCTCGACAGGCAGAGGACACAGGCACGCGCGGCCGATGCGACCATGGACTGGGCTGGCCAGACCTGCGCGCACAGCGACAAGCCCTTCAAGCGGGACGAGGAGACGGGGCACGGCATGCGAGGCGCTGTCTATTTGCGTCTGGGCAAGCGCCGCAGCACCAGCAGGGGTGTCTGCCACCTGCCCGACGCCGTGAGCCGCTCACACTAGTCTTCGTTGAGCCCCGAGCTGCTCGCCGCACGCGGCGCAGCCGACGGGCTGCAGGCCTACCTCCCGGCGCTCCACGAGATGATTCGTGGCCCAGCTTTAGCCAATGAGAGCAGGAAGCTCAGAGAGGAGAGAGGCTTCGCAGTTCCAGCAGACCTGGTCGCGGACGGGACGTCCATCGTCGCAGCCCTAGCCACGGACCCTGTTCGACCGCTCCAGTGAGCAACATGGCAGGCCACCGCGGTGGCTCTCGGACCAACTACGAACCGCGCAAATCGTGGGCATGCCTCGAAGCGACACGCGGGACATGGGGGCCGACCCCACGACGAAAGGGAGCATCGGCCGGGAATTCATCCGGACGTAACGAACAGGAAGCTTAGCTGCGACCACGACACGGCCAGGTTGAGCGACGAGCGGCACCAGAAGGCTGTGCCCGGTTCCCGCCACAGCAATCTCACCCAGAACATGGACGACTCGCCGGAGTAAGTCTTCGTGCCGTCCACCGTCCAGCCATCTTGGCTGCACGCGACTCTGGCAGGGGTCTGCATGATTATGGTATTGCAACCCTGGCCCCACAGTCGGCAGGGAGAGAGAGTGGCGTTAGCATTTCGCGAATTATTTTCGCGAATGCTACATAGTGGGTCACACAAATGAGGGGCTGCTTCTATGAACTACGCTCGTGGAGCAGCAAGTAGATGAGAGTTGAGCACCCGAATTATCGACGCGTCGCTCCGTCAACCATATTTTGTTTCGCCGCCATCAGTTCTATTCGATGACGAACGTGGTCACTAGAACGTTCCCTGTCCTAGCTGACGATTGTCTCGTTGGCTCATGCCCGGCTTGCGGGCGTGAGTCGACGAAGCACATGCAGATTCATGTGAGCACCAGAATCGAACGGTTGGTCTCTTGTACAGGTATTGTTTGCCTCACCTTGCCTCTGTCTTATGGTAACCCTTTTTTCCGCCGCCCCCTTAAGTTCGGGGGCACACAGTCTGGGCAGACTGCGTGCCCGCACGAACCGCGCATTAACACCCGCATCTTGCTTGTGGAGGGCAAAACAGATTCGCTTTCATCGCACATTTGATTTCTCACTAGAGCCCCCCATCAACCCCCAAACTCGGCGTGACCTCCCGCATCGCTCGGCCCCCCATGTTCCTTTTCCTGTTTTGGTTCCGAACATCCTTTCCCAGAGGATTGACATTGCAGACACCCCATATTCGTGACGAGATTGGATTACACGCCGTGGCACATGTTTCGTCCAGGTGTTTGCCGTCTGGGTTTTCTCCTCTTCCCCGTCCTCCTCACACTTTCCCTCTCCATCCCATTTCTCCTCCACCTTTCCCTCTGCATTATCATGTGTACTCTCTGCCCTCTCCATCCTCTTGTGCATTCTCCTCCTGTCCATCCTTCTAGTCTCCATCCTCCGACAGGTACGCTAGCACCCAGCGTGTCCGGGCGGACCTCGGCCCGCCCTCGTCGGTGCATGTTCCATTTTCCTTTGCCTTCCCCGAGGACGAGGTAATGGAGGAGGCGTTCGAGGAGTCCGACGAAGAAGCGGACGTGGACGCCGAGATGCAGAAGGCGTTCCGCGGGTTCGTCGTCGTTGTGGTCGTCGAAAACGCGTCGTCTTCGTCGTCACCGTCGTCGAGATCGTCGCCTGCGGGGGAGGGGGAGGAGGAGGAGGAGGAGGAGGAGGAGGAGGAAGCACGACCAGTGCAAACCCAAGACTCATCAACGATGTTGCAATAAACCATCCCTCCAAATTCCCTTTTCCACAGGTCCCTACAAGGGTTCATTGTCACCGAGAGTAACCGTCTGAAAATCTTGAACCATGCCAGAACACCACTCCTGGGATCAAACGCCGCGGATCAAAGTTATTGTTGCTTCCTGACGATTTTGAATCGCGCCAGAACGCCATTCCTTGGATTTCAACACCACGAATCAACGTAGCTAGTGCGCCCTGACAGTCTTACATCGTGCCAAAATACCATCTCTGGTACGTCGACCGTACGAACCCTTGAAACGAAGGTAAATTCTTAAGACGGATGCGCACGGCGCTAAGGCGAGAGCCACATTCTGAGAAGGCATCGCCCTCCGCCCGTGAAAAGCTCTTGCAGACATCTGGGGCGAACGTGCGCGGCGCTGCGGCGGGAGCCACACCTGGCAAGCCGCCCGAGGAGGGAGGCGCAGAGCCCATGGAAGCAGCCCAGCCGCGACCGCATCGACAAAGCAACAACAACGACCTGCGGTGGCTGCCGGCGGCCGGGAACTCTGAGCGGTGGTTGTGTGAGTCCGCCCGCGTATCACATGGTGGAGGACACGGCCTCCACGCCATGCCCTGACGGGCACGGGCGGGCTCCCCAGAGGAGCGCGCACGATTCCAGCGTCCGCTCCGCTTCGCCTCCGAGATGGGAGGAGGAGCTCTGGCGCGGCACTCCTTGAGCCCACGCAGAAGCCAGCCCCTCCTCCCCCTCCTCCTCCTCCTCCTCCTCCTCCTCCTCCTCCTCCTCCTCCTCCTCCTCCTCCTCCTCCTCCTCCTCCTCCTCCTCCTCCGTTTCCTCCTCCTCCTCCTCCTCCTCCTCCTCCTCCTCCTCCTCCTCCTCCTCCTCCTCCTCTTCCTCCTCCTCCTCCTCCTCCTCCTCCTCCTCCTCCTCCTCCTCCTCCTCCTCCTCCTCCTCCTCCTCCTCCGTTTCCTCCTCCTCCTCCTCTTCCTCCCTCCTCCTCCTCCTCCTCCTCCTCCTCCCCCTCCTCATCCTCCTCCTCCTCCTCCTCCTCCTCCTCCTCCTCCTCCTCCTCATCCTCCTCCTCCTCCTCCTCCTCCTCCTCCTCCTCCTCTCCTCCTCCTCCTCCTCCTCCTCCTCCTCCTCCTCCTCCTCCTCCTCCTCCTCCTCCTCCTCCCCCCCTGCCCAAGGGGGACAGGGGCACCTCCCCCGTGTGGGGCGCTGCCCGGCGCCCCAAGAGCCCAGGGCCACACCCCGCGCCCCTGCGGCCGCCCGGGCGCCTGCCGGCCGCGGCCGGTGGAAGTCGGCAATGAGGCATCGGAAGCCTTGCGACGGCGATCAGTGCAAATTGTGGTCAGTCCTCCTCCTCCTCCTCCTCCTCCCTCCTCCTCCTCCTCCTCTCCTCCTCCTCCTCCTCCTCCTCCTCCTCCTCCTCCTCCTCCGTTTCCTCCTCCTCCTCCTCCTCCTCCTTCTCCTCCTCGTCCTCGTTCTCCTCCTCCTCATCTTGCATGGTCCTGCAGAGCCAGGGGTGCATTGACCTGGGCTGGCGTGCAGGATCCTGCAGGATCTTGCTGGAGGGCCTTGCGGGAGCCTGCAGCGTCTGCCGGGCCCAGCTCGGGTGCGGGCGTGGGCCTGGTTGCGGAGGTGGGGGTGGGGGTGGATGTGGGTGTCCCAGATTTGTAAATTCGGCCACGCGCAGAGGGGGGTAGGGGGAGGAGGGAGGCTTCTTAGAAGCACCCCTGCTTCTTAGAAGGCGCGGGCCTCCTCAAGACATGTAATTAAGGACGGCGCCTTCTAAGAAGCAGCCCCCTTCTAAGAAGACTTCCCCCCTCCCCCTACCCCCCTCTGCGCGCCGCCAATAGATCCCCCGAGCGAGGTCACGAGGCTGCGCATTGCCTTGTGGTTTCCCGAGGGGGGCCCCTTCCAGAAGGCCTCGCGGGGCCGCCCGGAGGCACCGAGAAACGGCTCGGGAGGCGGAGCTGGTCCCGTGGAAGGCCCCCGGGTCCAGGACCCAGACATGATCGCGTCGTTAAAAAAGTCAGGACGGGAGGTTTTTGGCTAATTTCGGCCTCGGGGAACCCTCGCCGGGCCTCGGGACCGTAAAACAAAACGATTCAGGATGAAAAACCGGTCCCGGGGAGAGGGTCGGGACTTCCAGGGACTCTGTTTCGAAAAAATCTGGACGTCGCATGTCTGGGGACCCGTTTCCCTCAGGGCCCGTTCTTTGACAACCGCCGATCTGATTTTTCCGATCCGCGGCCCCAAAGGTCCCGACTTCGTCTTCGAGGGGTAGTTCTTCGCCCCTGGTCCTCTTTTGTTGAGGGTCCCATGGCCGGAGGTCGAGATCGAGGTCAAACGCCCAGATTGAATCCATCGACAGGGACGGGCATCTTAGCTTTAGGCACGGGCGGATGCAAACTTTTCCAAGCCATCAAGGCACGAAAAGCGGATGCCAACTCCTGTCCATCGACAGGGGTAGGCATTTAGGTTAGCGCGGTGCTTACATGAGACCGACTTTGTCAAGGACGGCCGTGCTCGCAACGGCAGTGGGGCCATCAAGCGGCCACCGAAACGCGCCTCGTACCACGACCTCCTTGGGGGGGGCCTTGCCTGGCTGGAAAGTCAGGCCATTCAATCCTGCGCCACTGTCGCCCAGCTACTCACTGGGTAAGGGGCGTCTGGGAGGCCTCTCTGGGGCCTCTGGGAGGCCTCTTGGGGACCTCTCGGAGCCCCGTGTGGGCGTCTTGGGGGCGCTATTGCGCTGTCTGGTCCCTTCGGAGACTGTCTTGGGGTACTCTTGGGCCGTCTTGGGGGCCTCTCGGGGCATCTCGGCGGCCTCTTTGGGCTGTCTGGGGGCCCTCTTGAGCCGTTTTGCGGCTCTCTTGAGGGCGTTTTGGGTCGTTTGGGGGCCGTTCGGAGGTTGTTTCGGCCGTCTTGGATCTCTAAGAGTCGAAATAGGCGGGAACGCTGAAATCTTCAAAAACACCTAGAAAATCAAAGATTTGGATTTCTGGAGGCGGTCCTAAGGGTCCTCTTGGGGCCGTCTTGGGCCTTCTTGGGGCCTTGTTGGGCCCCCTTGGGGCCATCTTGGGCCGTCTTGGCTTGCACAGGGGCCATCTTGAGCCAGCCTGACGCCCTCGTGGCCCCCCAAGAGGCCCAAGCAGCCGAAATCTTGATTTTACATAGGTTTTGGTAGGTCTTGGGGCCCCAAAAGTGGGTCGCCAGGTTGGGTCGATGGATGTGGCGTAGCCCCTGGGGGGGTCACGGGGGGAGACATAATCATGTAACACAAGACAACGTGTAGCAAGTATGCAATTATGTAATGCAATGGATACGTTGCATTACAGCATCCGCGGAAAACGCTGCCGCTGAGCACGTCACTTCCGGACGTGGATTTCCTCCCTTCAAACGCCGGCTCTAATCATGGGCGCCGCCGTGACACATTTCCACCTGGTTGGCGCTGCACCGCGGTTCGCCCAGAGGGAAAAAACGACATTAAATTCCAGTCGTTGTGTGGCCTTTTGGAGGCTTCTTTGAGGCCTCTTGGAAGCTTCTTGTAGGTTTTTAAAGGCCTCTTGGGGACTTCTTGGGGCCTCTTGGGGGCCTCTTGGGGGCCTCTTGGGGCCTCTTGGGGGCGCGTTCGGCTGTCTTGCGGCGCTTTCGCGCCGTTTCGCCCCTAGGGAGGCCCTTTTGCAGGCCTCTCGCGGCCGCCTTGGGTCTCTCCTTGGGCCGTTTGGGAGGCATCTTGGACCGTCTTGGGGGCCTCTTCGGGGCGTCTTGGAGCCCTCTTGGGCCGTTTTGAGACCCTCTTCGGAGCCTCTGGGGCCTTTATGGGGCCATTTTGGAAGCTGTTTGGGCCGTCATGGGCTGCTGAGAGCCGAAAAAAAAGCGAGAACGCTACAATAATAGTAATAATAATAATAATATTATTGCTATTATTATTAATAATAATAATAATAATAATAACAATAACAATAACACCAACATCAGCAATAGCAATAACAATAACAACAACAATAATAAGGAAAATATTAATAATGATAATCAAAATCAGAATCATAATCATAATAAACATAAAAATAATAATAACAAGAATAATAATAATAGTAATAATAATAGTAGTAATAATAGTAATAATAGTGGTAATACTAATAATAATAATAATAATAGTAATAATCATCATCACTATTAAATGTATTGATGATTTTGGCTTCTGGAGGCGCAGTTGTTCGCGCTCGTGGGGCCCTCTTTGGGCCATCCTCGAGGTTTCTTGGGCTCTCTTGGGGCAATGTCGGGCCGTCTTGGGGCCGGGCCGCTTTGGTCCGTTCAGAGGCCATCTTGGGCCGTCTGGGCGCCCTCGTGGTGCCCCAAAAGGGCGACGGGGCCCAAATCATAGATTTTCCAAAGGTTGTGGTTGGATTCTGTAGGTTTTTGAGGCGCAGGAGGGAGGGGTCACCTTGGGTCGGCGGAAGTGATGTGGCCCCTGGGGGGGGTTAGGGGGGTAGATAATAATGTAACACAATACAATATGTAGCAATTACGCAACCATTGCATTATAGCCTCCGCGGACCTGCCTCTGGCAACACGTCACCTCCGGACGTGGATTCCTCTCGCTTCGCGGGGTGCTCGTCCGGAGCACGTACAGTCACGTCGTCGCGGGGCCTCTTGGGAGCCTCTGGGGGCCTCCTGGAGGCCTCTTGGGAGCTTTTTTGGGCCTCCTGGGGTTTTGGGGGGGCCTCTCCCCCCCTCCTTTTCAGACTCTCCCCATCTTCCCTTTCGGCGCCGGCTCTAGTCATGGGCGCCGCTGTGACCAACTTCCACCTGGCTGGTGCTGCGCCGCAGTTCGCCCAGGGGGAGAAA